CGACTGCTTCGATGGAGAAGACGACGAAGACGACGACGACGAAGGCGACAACAACGACGACGATGACGAAGACGACGGCGACGACGACGAAGACGACTACTACTGCGTCGACGAAGACGACAACGACGACGACGACGGCGACGAGGGCGACGACGGCGACGAGGGCGACGACGACGACGAGGGCGACGACGACGACAAAGACGATAAAGACGACGATGAAGACGACGACGACGACGAGGGCGACGACGCCGACGACGACGACGACGCCGAGGGCGACGACGACTGAGACGACGAAGGCATGCACGATCCTTGCGGTGTCCGGCGTCCAGCGTCCGGCGTCCGGCGTCTGGCGTCCGGCGTCCGGTGTCCGGTGTCCTGTTTCCAATGTCCGGCGACCGGCGTCCAGCGTCCGGCGTCTGGCATCTGGCGTCCGGTGTCCGGTGTCTGGTGTGTGGTGTCCGTTGTCCTGTGTCCGGAGTCTGGTGTTCGGTGCCCCTGTCCGGGCGCCTGGTGTCCGGTGTCCGGTGTCTGGCGTCAGTTGCAGAGCATGAGGCGGGGGAGGAGCAGCCGCAGCAGGAGGATGAGGATGATGATGGTGATGAGGAGGAGGAGGGTACGAAAAATCATAATGAGGATGAGGATAAGCAGCAGGAGGACGAGGAGGAGGATGTTGAGGTGGAGGAGGGGGTTGAGGAGGATGAGGAGGATGGGGAGGAGGATAAGGAAGGGGTGGATAAGGAAGGGAATCAAGAGAATGAGGCTGAAGATGATGAGGAGGATGAGGAGACGGAGAAGGAGGAGGATATTGAGGAGGATGATGAGGATGATGAGGAAGAACTATATGATTACAATGACGATGATGAGCAGGAGGACAAGCAGCAGGACAAGGATGCAGCAGCAGCAGGATGAGGAGAATGAGGATGAGGAGGAGAAGTAAGGAGCAGCAGGAGGATGATGATGATGATGGCGATGATGAAAAAGAGGGGGAGGTAGAGAAAGAGGAGGAATATGGGGAGGAGGAACAGCAGCAGAATGAGGATTATGATGATGATGATGATGATGATGATGATGATGATGATGATGATGATGATGATGATGATGATGATGAATGGAGAGGATGAGGAGGAGGGGAAGGAGGATGAGGAGGAGGTGGACGGGGAGAAGGAGGAGGAGGAGGAGGAAGAGTGGAAGATGATCAGGAGGATGAGGAGCAAGAGGAGCGGGCCCCAACGGGCGTGCCGGACCGGCGGGTGGACCGTAACGGGCGGGTCGGGTCGGGCGGGCGGGACATTAAAGTAGGAAACATCATCGAGTTGGCACGCGCGTGTCCTAACGGGCGGATCGGGTCCGGCGGGCGGACCCTAACGGGCGGGCGGGTCGGTCTGGGCGGGACATTTAAATAGTGTTCAATCTGTCTTGCTGGACCTCTGCGAGGGCGACGAGGGAGACGAAAACGACGAGGGCGAGGACGACGACGACGACGACGACGATGAAGGCGACGACGACGACGACGACGACGATGAAGGCGACGACGACGACGAAGACCGCGACGACGACCCGTCCTCCTCCTCCTCCGCCTCCTTCTCCTCGTCTCCTCCTCCTCCCTCTTCCTCCTCCTCCTCCCCCACCTTCACAGTCATCAGAGCGTAATACTCGCTATGATCGTCAGCAGCGGCATCAACATCATCATAATCATCACCAGCATCGTCATCGTCATTATCATCACCATCATCACCATCACCATCATCACCATCATCACCATCATCATCATCATCATCATCATAACCATCATCACTACCATCACCATCATCACTACTACCACCACCACCATCATCATCACCATCATCACCATCATCACCACCGCATCCTTATCGTCATCATCATCATCGTCGTCATCATCATCGTCATCATCATCATGGCATGGTCAACTTCATTGACAACTTCGTCATCACCGTAATCATCATCACCGTCGTCGTCGTCGTCTGCATCCATCGCACTCATTACCGTAGTCGCCATCAACACCAACATAAACATCATCATCAACGTCCGGGGCTGGTGTCCAGAGTCCGGTGTCCGGTGTCCGGTGTCCAATGTCATGTGTCCGGTGTCTGGTGTCCAGTGTCCGGTGTCCGTTGTCCAGTGTCCGGTGCCCGATGCCCGGTGCCCGGTGTCCAGTGCCCGGTGTCGGGTGTCAAGTGTCCGGTGTCTGGTATCCGGTGTCCAGTGTCCAGCGCGCGAGAATGGTTCTATAGTACGACGACGACGACGGCGGCGGCGACGGCGGCGACGACGAAGACGACGGGGGCGACGACGACGACGACGGCGACGACGACGATGACGACGATGCCGAGGCCCCGGCAGGTCACCGAGGTTAACCTCGGTGACCTGCCGGGGCCTCGCGAGGTCACCAATTGGTGACCTCGCGAGGCCCTTTGGAGGCCTGGGCGGGCCACCGAATGCCGAATACAGGACGGTAACCTTGCGAGGCCCGTTGGAGGCCCGAGGCCCGTTGAAGGCCACGGAAGGTCACCGAGGTCCGTGACCCTGCGAGGCTCGTTGGAACTCCTGGCAGGCCACCGCATGTCAAACACGGGCCGGTGACCTTGCGTGGCCCGCTGGAGGCCCGGGCAGGTCACCGAGGTCGGTGACCTCGCGAGGCCCGTTGAGGGCCCCGGGAGGTCACCGAGGTCGGTGATTTTGCGAGGCTCTTTGGAGCCCCTGGCAGGTCACTTAGTCTCAAACCCAGGCCGGTGGCCTTGCGAAGCCCGCTGAAAGCCCGAAGGTCTCCGAGGTGGGTGTCCTCATGGGGCCCGTTGAAGGCCCCGGCATGTCACTGAGACCTTGCAAGGCTCTTTGGACCCCCCGGCATGTGACCGTATATCGAACACAGGCCAGTGACCTTGCGTGGCTCGCTGGAGGCGCCAGCAAGTCACCGAGGTCGGTGACCTCGCGAGGCCCGTTGAGGGCCCCGGGAGGTCGCCGACGTCGGTGACCTCGCGAGGCTTTTTGGAGGCCCTGGCAGGTCACCGATCACCGAGGTCGGTGACTTTGCGAGGCTCGCTGGCCCCTACAGTGGAAGCCATAGGCATCCTTGCAACTCTGGGCTAAGAGATGTCGTGACCTGAGCAGGTCCAGTCCAAATCGCCTCAGACATCCTCGCAAGTCTGGGCTCAGACATGCCGCGCGCGAGGTGAACCAGACAATTTTGCCTCAGACATTCTCGCGACTCTGGCCACAGAGATGCCTGAACCTGAGGTGACCTGGTCAGTTTCGCCTGAGACATCTCCGCCGCAAATTTGAGCTCCCAGATGCCATGCGCCAGGTGGTCTGGCCAGTTCCGCCTGAGATATCTTCGCAACTCTGGGCTTAGATGCCGTGCGCGAGATGGTGCGGCCGGGCTCGCGTGAGCATCCTCGCAACACTGGGCTCAGATACGCACTGACTTGATGTGGTACAGCCCGTTTCGACTGAGATATCCTCGCAACTCTGGGCTCAGAGATGCCTTTCGCGAGGTGGTCTGGCCCATTTTGCCTGAGACACCCTTGCAGTTCTGGGCTAAGACTCAGACATGCCGCGCACGAAACGGTCCGGACATTCTCGCCCGAGACATCATCGCAGCTCTGGGATTGGAGATGCTCTGACCTGATTTGGTCCGGCCCGATTCGCTTGAAACATTTCCGCAACTCCAAACTCAGATATGCCCTGACTTGAGGTGGTCCGGCCCAGTTCGCTTGGGACATTCTCGCAACTCTGGTCTCCGAGATGCCAGGCGCGAGGTGGTCCAGCCAGTTTCGCCTGAGGTATCCTCGCAACTCTGGGCTCCTAGATGTCGCGCGCAGGGTGGTTTAACCATTTTCGCCTCCGACATCCTCGGAATTCTGGGTTCCTCCATGCCGCGCGCGAAAGTCTGGCCAACTTTCCCCGAGACATCCTCGCAATTCTGGGCTCAGAGATGCTCTGACCTGAGGTGGTCTGGCCCTTTCCGCCCGAGACATCTTCGCAACTATGGGCTCAGGCATGCCGCGCGCGAGGTTGGCCGGCGCGCTTCGCCTGAGGCATCCTCGCAACTCCAGCCTCAGAGACGCTGCGCGCGAGGTGGTCTGGCCAGGTTCAAGGATGCCCTGAATTGAGGTAGCCCGGCCAGTTTCGCCTGAGACCTTTTCGCAACGCTGGGCTCCGAGATGTGGCGCGCTAGGTGGCCCAACCCGTTCGCCTGAGACATCCTCGCAAAAGGGCTCCCAGACGTGCCAGGACCACACGACTAGTTATCGAGTCGTCCTCCAGGAGGGGTTCAACCGCCCTTGGCCCGAGGGGGCAGTTAACCGGTGCCGAGGCGAGAGCCGGATTTCTGATTCATGTGGAAGGACGTCTCAGGCGGGAGCGCCAGGCCAGAATAGATATGTTGAGGAAATCTCCGGCGAAAGGAGAAATATGAAGGCAAGAAGGATAACTTTGAGTACGAGGAGGGGCGAGGAGAACCCGGATGAGGAAGAGCATCATGAGCACGATGATGAGAAGGATGATAAAGAGGAGGAGGAGGAGGAGGAGGAGGAGGAGGAGGAGGAGGAGGAAAGTAACGGCGAGAAGTAGGAGGAACGGCATGAGGATGCGGAGGAGAAGGGAGGACGATGAGGTTGTGTAGGAGGGTGGACGGCGAGAAACACGATGAGGACGGCGACATAAACAACGACGACGACATTGATAACGACAAGGGCGCACGCAAATCAGGAACAGGAGGACGGTGATTCGGAGGACGAGAACAAGTTTTGAAACCACATTAAATCTAGAGTCGCTGATGGGGATGCTGGACCCTGGCCTTAATATATTCCTCCTTCGTCGCTGCTCCGCGTCATCCTTCTGCTGCTGCTGCCCCTCACATTCCCCTCCGCTGCTCCTCCACGTCCTGCTCTTTTCTCACGTCTCGCCCGCCGTCCCCCCCCACACACACTTCTCGCTCCTCACTTTCCACGCTTGTCCAAGGATGAGTTAAAGAGGATCAGATGGGCCGCAGACGCGCAGAGTATCAGAAGGCAGAGGAATATACAGCGGAGGATGAAGATGAATAATATGATTGCCGTGACGAGGTGGATCGCAACGATGGCGGCGACCCGCCGACCATGACGACTGCAATATATCACAACGGTATCGGCGCTCAAGGTGACGACAACAACGGTTGCAATGATTCGTCATGAAGTTGATTGCGAGTGAATTTGATGATGAGCACGGTGGTGATGACGATGACCACGATGATGATAAGGACGATGACGACGATGACGATGATGGTGATGATAATGATGATAGCGTCGACGACAACGATGAGGGTCCTAATGACGACGACGGCGACGACCACGACGAAGACGAATCGGATGAACGGGCGGCCGCCCGCCGCGGCAGAAGCGGACGGCCGGCCGAGGCCGCGGCGAACGCCCAAGAGATCTACGCGGCGGCCTCTGCTGAGAGAAAGTCTGCGCTGCAAGGTTCTTCTCAGCAGGGGCACCCGGGTGCCTCTGCTGAGAAGGCGCGGGCCTGATCCCGGGATCGCCCGCTGGGCGCGATGAGACGACGCCCTCCAAGTAGAGCTTGTTTCATCAGGGCCAGACGACGATCCCAGGGTCAGACCCACGTCCTCTCTGCAGAGGCACCCGCGTGCCTCGGTGGGAAGACCCCTACAGCGCAAACCTCATCTCAGCAGAAGCCGCCGTGTAGATCCTAGACGTTCGCCGCGCCACGTGCTCTCAGCAGGGCCGCTGGGTTGGCCTTGCCGAGAACGCGTAGAATGCGGCAAACGCCTAAGACCCCAGGGGCAGGGGGCTCGATCGGAAGCGAAAAGCTGTTGGTGTTGGCTGTATCTTCTGTTGAAATACCGATGCCGATCATGGCTTGGTACCGGTACCTGTACCGGCATCGGTACTGGTATTGATAGCGATACTGGCACCGACAGGCGCAGAACCGTTCTTAGCATCAACATTCGCACAGTCCAAGAGGGCCCTGCTGGAGTCTGGAGGAGACAGGGGGCTGCAAGGAGGAGCAGGAGGAGTATGGGGGGAGATGGAGGAGGCAGCAGCAGAAAAAGGACCAGGACAAGGATGGTGACGAGGCGGAGAAGCATCACCAACATACCGATTTATAGGCTCAGTCCAGCATCCCCGACAGCGATTTTGAGCAGCCAGGGTGGCTCCAAACATTGTTTGCGCGTCCACCGAATCATCGTCCTCCCGCCCCTGATTTGCCTGCGCCCTTGTCATCATCACAGTCGTCGTCATTGCTGGTATCGTCCTCTTTGCCATGCTTCTTGCCCTTTCCCCCTTCCCAAACCTCCTTCTCCTCCCCCTCCTTCTCCTCCCCCCGTCATCCCGTTCCTCTTTCTCCTCGTCTTTCTTCTTCCTCGTCCTCTTATTTTCCTCGTTATCACCATCGCGTTCCTGATGTTATTCCTCCTGGTTCTTCTCGCCCCACCTCGTTCTCCTGGTTCTCCTCCTCGCCCTCGAAGTTCCCCTCTCGCTGGAGATTTCAACGTGTACCAGGGCGTGTCCGAAATTCATGTTCTCGCCTCGGCGCCGGCTAACTGCCCCCTCGGGGCAGGGGCGCCTGGACCCCTCCTGGGGCGCAACTCGATATTAGCAGTGTAGTGTAACAGGAAGCTTGGGCCTGGCCCCATCGGAGCCCAGTTGTGAGGATGTCTCAGGCAAAACTGACTGGACTACCTCGTGCGCGGCATCTCGGAGCCCTGAGTTGCGAGGAGGTCTCAGGCGAAATTGGCCCGACCATCTCTGGCGCGGCATTTTGGAGCCCAGAGTTGCGAGGATGGATCAGGCAAATCTGGCCGGAGTACCTCGAGCGCATCATCTCTGTGCCCGGAGTTGCGGGGATGCATCAGGCCATATTGGCCAAGCGACCTCGGGCGCAGCATGTCTGAGCCCAGAGTTGCGAAGATGTCTCAGGCGAAAATGGGCCAGATCACCTCAAGTCAGGAGCATCTCTGAGCCCAGAATTGCGAGGATGTCTCAGGCGAACTGGACTGGACAACCTCACGCGTCGCAATTTCGAGCCCAGAGTTGCGAGGATGTCTCTGGCGACATGGGCCAGATCACTTCAGGCCACAACAGTTCAGAGACCAAAGTTGCGAGGATGTCTCAGGCGAAACGGGTCCGACCACCTCGCACGCGGCATCTCTGAGCCTGGAGTTGCGAGGATGTCCCAGGCGAAACAGGCTGGACCACCTTGTGTCAGAGTATCCCTGAGCCCACGCGCGACATCTTGGAGCCCAGAGTTGCGAAGATGTCGCAGGCAAAATTAGCCGGACCGCTTCGCACGCGGCATCTCGGAACCCAGAGTTGCGAGGAGGTCTGAGGCGAGTTTGACTGGGCCACCTCGCGCCTGGCATCTCGGATCTCAGAGTTGCGTGAATGCCCCGGGCGAATGGGGCCAGACCGCCTCAGGTCAGGGCATATCTGAGCCCAGAGTTGCGAGGATGTCACAGGCGAATCGTGTCGGACCAACTCAGTCAGAGCATTTCCGATCCCAGAGTTTCGATGATGCCTCTGGCCAAACGGGCCCGACCACCTCGCACGCGGCATTTCTGAGCCTGGAGTTGCGAGGATGTCCCAGGCGAAACAGGCTGGACCACCTTGTGTCAGAGTATCCCTGAGCCCACGCGCGACATCTTGGAGCCCAGAGTTGCGAAGATGTCGCAGGCAAAATTAGCCGGACCGCTTCGCACGCGGCATCTCGGAGCCCAGAGTTGCGAGGAGGTTTGGGGCGAGTTTGACTGGGCCACCTCGCGCCTGGCATCTCGGATCTCGGAGGTGCTTGAATGCCCCGGGCGAATGGGGCCAGACCACCTCAGGTCAGGGCATATCTGAGCCCAGAGTTGCGAGGATGTCACAGGCGAATCGTGCTGGACCAACTCAGTCAGAGCATTTCCGATCCCAGAGTTTCGATGATGCCTCTGGCGAAAATGGGCCAGACCACCTCGCGAGAGGTATCTCGGAACCCAGAGCTGCGAGGAGGTCTAAGGCGAAGTGGGCCCGAACCACATTAATCCAGGACATATATGAGCCCGGATTTGCAAGGATCCTCAGGCGAGCCGGGCCGCACCTCTTCGCGCGCGGCATCTGGGAGCCCAGAGTTGCGAAGATGTCTCAGGCGAAATTGGCCAGACCACCTCGCGCGCGGCATCTCGCAGAGTTGAGGAGAATGTCTCAGGCGAGAATGTCTGAAATAAGCTTTTCCAGATCACCTCGCGCTCGGCATGTCTGAGCCAAGAGTTGCGAGTATGTCTAAGGCGAAACGGGCTGGACATCCTCAGGTTAGGGGCATATCTGAGCCCAGAGTTGCGAGGACCTTTCAGGCGAAATGGACTGGACCACTTCGCGCGTGGCATCTTGGATCCCAGAGTTGCGAGGATGAGTCAGGCGAAATGGGCCAGGCCACATTGCCCCTGGCAGCTCGGAGCCCAGAGTTGCGAGGAACTCTCAACGCAACGCAACGCAGCGCAATGGGAAGTGACGCAACAGAAATGCAATCCCATGCGTTGTCATGCAATGCCATGCAATGCCATGCAATGCAACGCAATGGCATTCCATGCAAGTGCAATGCAGCATATGCAAAATGCAAGTGCAGATGGGCATGAGACAGAGGCTTCCACTGTGGGGGATGCGGGATAAAACGAGAGAGAGAGAGAAAGAGAGAGAGAGAGAAAGAGAGAGAGCGAGGGAGAGAAGGAGCGCGATGAGGAGGATGTGGAGTTGTTTTCCAGGTCTCTCTTTGCAACTTGGCATGAACCACAGTGCAACACCAGTAGCAGGAGGCGGGGCTGGCAACAGGATCAAGCACATCGGAAGCGAACTTAGCAGGAACACGACGAGGGCCACCGAAAGCCGCCGAGGGCCGCCGAAGGCCGCCAGGGGCTGCCGAAAGCCACCGACGGCCGCTGAAGGCCGCCGAAGGGCGACGAGGCAGAGGAGGGGGAGGAGGAGGAGGAGGAGGAGGAGGAGGAGGAGGAGGAGGAGGAGGAGGAGGAGGAGGAGGAGGCAAGGAGGAGGAGGAGGATGAGGAGGAGGAGGAGGAGGAGGGGGAGGAGGCGGAGGAGGAGGAGGAGGAGGAGGAGGAGGAGGGGGAGGGGGAGGAGGCAAGGAGGAGGAGGAGGGAGAGGACGAGGTGCTAGTAGGACGTGAAAAGAGGAAGGAAGGGGAGGAGGACAGGAGGAGGAAGTGGAGGAGGAGGAGGAGGAGGAGGACGACGAGGAGGAAAAACAATACCAGCAGCAGGAGGCGGAGCTGACAACTGGATCAAGCACATCTGGAGCCCACTTAGCAGAACAGAAGCCCACTTAGCAGGAACACGACTTATTGTTTTTTGACAGGGATGGTGGGGGGGGGGCCGCATCGTGTGGGCTGCGCATGTTCCGAATTTGGAGGCAGAGTGTGTTGTGTATTGTTTTCTACAAGGGATGGTGGGGGGGTGTTGTCATGGACCTGGGTAGGCCCTCAGTCGCCTGGGGGAGGGGGTGTTCATTAATAGGGAACAGTGATAAACCCCTCAACGGGAAAAGGGGATTGTGGAAGAGGAAAGAACGTCATCGTAAGACCACCTGTCGCCCAAAGGCCTGGTGGGATTCAGGTCCCACCCCTCCGAAGCTCACAAAGGGCGTGGTGGGGCCGTTTTGGGCCAACATCTTGCAGCTTGTCTGTCAGCGCGCACTTGTCCAGAAGGAAAAGCATCTGAATTCTTGACGCTTCGCGAACCCCAGCCAGGAATTCCACCTTGACCGACGGTTCTTTGGCTGCGGCCACCCTGGTGCCCACGCAGTTGTCTGGGGTTCGGGCTCATGCATTAATTATACAGCTTCCTCCCCTGGTCGTCGTTCATCCCGACTTTCTGGTGCTTCCGACGCCCTGCATATTTGCACGCTGGCAGTTCGACTCAGTCTCAGTCACCCCTGCCACCCGCCCGCCGCTGGGCCGCCGCGTGAGGCCTCGGCTAGCTGCGTTAGTCGTGGCTCGCCCCCGCTGCCTTCGCTTAATTCGTCGCTGCGTTGCCCGCTTTGACCTGACTCGCCGCCGGCGCGCTCGCCCGCGGCTGCTGACTAAAAAAGTATCCCCACCAGTTCTTTTAGGCTCGCGCGTAGCCCGCCCGACCTCTGACGCTGCTGTCGCGCTCGCCTGCGGCCGCGACAAAAAGCATCCCCACCAGCCCACCCAGGCACGACCGGAGGCTTTCTTGAGGCCGCTTGGGGTCGATCCTGAGGCATGTTGAGCTATCCTGAGCCATGCGTGGTTATCTTGGACCGCCTCGTGGCTGCCTTGAGGCCTCTTCGAGGCGTGTCGGAGGTTATCTGAGCCATGCTCGACCGCCTGAGACCATGTTGGGGGTAAGAGGAGGAGGAGGAGGAGGAGGAGGAGGAGGAGGAGGAGGAGGAGGAGGAGGAGGCAACAGAAAGCAGGAGGAGGAGGGGGACGAGAAGGAGGAGGAGGAGGACAAGGGATGCGCAACGAGGAAGAGGAGGAAGAGGAGGAGGAGGAGGAGGCGGAGGAGGAGGAGGAAGAGGAGGAGGGAGGAGGCAGGAACGGAGGAGGGAAGGAACGAACGATGACAAGGAGGATGAGAAGTCGGGCGTTGGAGGTATGCTTATGTGAGAGGCTCTTCAAGGACGACGAAGGCCAGCTGAGGGGCTCTCTTAGGGCCCCCTCGGGGCCTCTCGGGGCCCTCTTGGGGCTCTCGTGGTGGGTGTCTGGGGCTCTCGTGAGGATCCTTGGAAGGGGGTTTGGGAGGCCTCTTGGGGCAATCGTGGCCGCCATGAGTCAAACGAGGGGGAGTTGGAAATTCAGGTCTCCCCTTTTCCTCCTCCTCTTCCTCCTCCGTCTCCTCCTCTTCCTCCTCCTCCTCCTGCTCCTCCTCCTCCTCATCTCTCCTCCTCCTCCTCCTCCTCTCTGCTCCTCTTCCTCCTCCTCCTCCTCCTCGTGCTCCTCCTCCTCCTCCTCCTCCTCCTCCTTCCTCCTCCTCCACCTCCTCCTCCTCCTCCTCCTCCTCCTCCTCTTCCTCGTGTTCCTCCTCCTCCTCGTGCTCCTCCTCCTTCTCCTCCTCTTCCTCCTCCTCCTCATCCTCCTCCTCCTCCTCCTCATCCTCCTCCGAGGCTCAAGAAGGGCGTGCTGGGGCCCTCTTGGACCAAAGTGTTTCCAGTTTGTCTGCCTGCGCGCACTTGCTAAACTCATAGGGGCCATGTGGCTTTAGCCATCGCGTCCACAAGCCGCATGATCATCTCACCACGCGGTTCACCCGCGTTGCTCAAGCATGCGCCCAGTGACGATCAACAGCTATTGTACGGGCCACGTGCGACCACCGCCACGCGCGCGTTTTGGAATCCGTCCAAAACCGTTAGTGTTCGAAGCATGCCACGATTTGAGCATTACACCATCATGCGAAACACCTAATGTGTGGCAACCGAATATTGCGCCTGGTGTCTTGCATGTCTGCCTGCGCCGCCGCATCACCCTTTATCGTATTCGCCAATCGCCGCCATTGCCGCCATCAAAGCCAATCAGCCCTGTTCATCACCGACACAGGGGCATGATCATCGTCATCGTCGTCACACAGGTGGCGCCGTCATTGGCCTTGCCGTCGTCATCGTCACCATCGCCACCACCATCGTTAATAGCATCATCATTGCCGCTGTTGCCGACGTCATCATGATACCGCGTCCGCGCGCCAGCGCGGGATGTGAGACGCGCCGGAAATTCCCATCGGTGAGCGCCACCGCGGTTGCGGCGGCTGTGCCAAACCAGTTGGTCGTTCTGCCCACGAGTTCACGCGCGGTAGCGCAGCCGCAGAGATCCGTCAGCAAGTGCCAAGGAGTCGCCGCATTCGCGACCGCATGGGCTGTGCAAAACAAGTTGCGGACGGGAGGGCGGGATGGATCCGCAAGCAGAGGAGTTGGCGATTTCAAGTTCTGCCAGGTGGGCTGCACCACCTAGATTGAACCGTTGAGATTGCACAATAATTATGGCGCATCCAGGGTGCACTAAGGCACGGTGTTGGGTTCAAGTTGGCAAACATGACATCCAATTTGAGTTATAAGGGAAGATATCCTTGGGGACCGCAGTCGACGTTCCCCGGTCGGTGCCCCATTGTGTGTGCCCTCTGTGTTTTTGATTGTGGTTCCCCGTGGGTCGTAGTCGGCATCTCCCGCTCAGTTCCGACGTCGACGATGCATCGCCGGTGCATCACCGATGCATCGCCGATGCATCGCCGATGTATCGGCGATGCGGCGCGATCCTCCAACCCCATCTTCTCCGACCCCATCTAGGAGGCCTCTAGTAACACATCCTGCACGACGACCACTACCACAGCCACTGCTGCGACCGTGGTGCTACAAGCATCAATGCCAGTGTCACCCCTAGTGCGCACGTCGGGCTTGCATGAGTTTTCCGTTTGAAGTCTTCGCGTTGGCAATATCATTACCAACGTAGGCATTCTGAACCGTACGCGTCGACGGTGTTTAGAGAGCACGTAAGTAAGAGCAGTTTACTCGTCTGGAAAATCTGGAGGAACATCCGCCGACGACGACGAGCAGGAAGAGAAGACGTGTGATTTTCAGACGAGGGTAACATCGCGCTTGTGAGACCTTCTATGTGGTACCCTATTATGTGGGACCCCGTCGTCTAGGACATACCCTGCTATCGTGTGGGACCCTCTCGCATAAGATCCCAGATTGTGAGACTTTTACCGTGTGGGGATCTTTAGCATGTGAAAGCACTTTGCTTTGGTGGGGCCCTATCGGATGGGACACTCGTGTGGGAGTCTCTATCGTGTGTGACCCTATCGCGTGGAGCTCTCCCGTGTAACGTGATGCCCCGCCAGGAAGCCCGTTGACTAAGGACAGCGCCGGGAAAATTAAAGAATTGTAACGCCGCGCGCCCCCCGTCACCGAATGTCAATGTTGGAGAAAATCGGAGCTGACGGAACGCTGCGCACCGGCAGAAATCCGGACAATCGAGGTCAGATCGTTAGGGTAGATGCTATAAACCTTGAGCGCAAACACTTCTACGGGAAGCTCGTGCTCGAACACACCTTGACTTTGAACTTTGTGTTGCCTCCTGGGACTGGGGCTTCCGTGTATCCATCTTGGGGTAGTCTTGGAGAATTCCGGGTCATGTTGGAGGGCATGTTCGATTTGTTTTTTTCTGAAAAACGCATTGGGCGTTTTGTTCTACCGTTTTGCACATCGGGCTTTCGACAAGCTAAAAACGCTAAACACAGATTCGACGGTTGTTCAGCGTTTTCAGCTCAGTTTTTGTTAAGCGTTTCTAGGCCCGTCGTTGTGGACCAGCATGTTTCAACGTCGCTTGCTTTCTGGTCGAAGGTAGTTCTTTGTCTTGCCGTCTTCACTCCCCTTTTTTGTTTTGTTTCTGCCGCCGTTCTCCCTCGCAGAACTAAAAAACGCTCTGACACCGAACTAACATTATGTCGGGCGTGTCCCCCTCCAGGGGGACTTTCGACGTCAAAATGAAAAGTACTCCAAAAATACCCCAACATGGTCAAAAGATACTAAAAAATTTGACCCTAGACCATTTTGGAATTATTTGGGATTATCTTTGCGTATGTTTCATTTTTCGTCGAAAATCCCCGTGTAGGGGGGACAGGCCCGACTTCACTCTGACACCGAACTGACACCGGCCCGAAACAGGCCCGGAGGCCCGCTGGCCCCGAGAGGGGCAGCTGGCCAGCGGGCCCGGAGGCCCGACGCCCCAGGAGGGGCCCCGAGGACGGCGAGCAGTCGGATTTCGGGGGCGGAAAAGTCAGAGCCCCCGAATCATCAGGGGTAACTCGGGTCAGGGATAACTCGGGTTCCTTTTTCGGGAATCCGAACCCGAGTTACCCCGGACCCGAGTTACCCCGGATAACTCGGGCGTCCAGAGCCCCAGAATCATCGGGGGTAACTCGGGTCAGGGATACCTCGGGTTCCTTTTTCGGGAATCCAAGCCCGAGTTACCCCGGACCCGAGTTACCCCGGATAACTCGGGCGCCCAAAAAAGAGGGGGGTGATGACTAGGGGGGGGTGGATATCATGGCGTGGGCCATGATATTTCCCCAGATTTCATGGCGCCTCCTCTTATTTCATTACGTTCCTGGCCCCCCCGCTGGGCCGCGCACATGCCGCCGGTCATGATTTGCACCCCCCCCCCCTCTTGGACACCCCCCTCTTGGCCGCTCCCGAGGACTGAGAGAGCCGGAGGGCTGAGGACTGCACGCGAGGAGAAGGGACTGAGGACGTCACAGACGGCAACGCTGAACAATGCAGCCAACTGCTCTGCAAACGCTAAACAAAAAACGCAGCCCAAAACTGACCAGTTGTTGTGCGTTTCTGGTTTTCCTGTTGGGGCCTAACAACGCTAAACAATGATTTCCAACATGCCGATTTAAACTGGTATGAGAAAAAAATGCCTTGGGCATTTTTTGAAGAACCCAGACGTTGGATCAAGTCGGGCCACAGTCGGCGGTCTGGCAGCCTATCTTGGGATATATCAGTTGAGATGTAGAGCTTATCGGACAAGAGTGAGAGCCTGCATATTCGATCTTGGCTTGGGGGTTCGGGAACCTCTCGCGCAGCGTATGTCGATGCCCCAGAGGCGCCCTCAGAGGTCCCAGTCCGCGGCCAGATCAGAATCCTCAAAATCAGTGTCACGTGTCGTGCAAGGGCCAACTTCGACTTCAGAGCCGTTGCAGGGTACACGCTGTGCCTCTGGTATGGTGGCGGACAAACTTACCTCCTCGCGATGTCCATCCTGAAGGCTTCACACAGTTCCCATCAGGTCTAGCTGCTGTGGGACCTGTCGTGGGATCCCCCCTCGAACCCCACCCAGCTGCGCCTCAACCCCAAGACTGGTCACTGCTGCCCGCGACGCGCAGTGCTGGCTGGCTGGCGGCAGAGCGCCCCCCTCTTGGTCTCCCCGAGGGGCCAGCTGCCAACTTAGCGCACAGCCCTGCTGTGCCGCACGACTGCGTGGCCAGCGGAAGCCCCGCCCCCAGTCGCGGCAGTGCTGCCAGCAGCCATCAGGCCGAGCCGCCCCATCCGCAGGCGGAGCAGCCCCATCCGCAGCCGGATCCGGGCCGCAGCTGCAGCTCCGCCGGCAGCCAGGGGCGGGAGGGCGCGGCAGCCTCGGACCCTCGCAGCGAGCTGAGCCCTCCCCCCCGGGCTCAGACCTCTGCGAGGACGCCAGCCGACGGCACTCCGTGCTCGGTGAGCCGAGGAGGCAGTGCAGGACGCCGGCTCCCCGCGGCCACAGACGCCGAGGCCGACCACGTGGCGACTCGCGAGGCAGGCGCCGTGCAGCTGGCCGCCCAGACGCCTCGCAGTGCTCGCAGCGCTGGTGCTCGCAGCGCTGGTGTTCGTAAGCAGGTCGCCTCCCTCCTTCATCCCTCCTCCTCGCCATCCCCATCGCACTCCTCCTCGTCCTCCTCCCTCCTCCTCCTCCTCCTCCTCCTCCTCCTCCTCGTCCTCCTCCTCCCTCCTCCTCCTCCTCCTCCTCCTCCTCGTCCTCGTCCTCCTCCTCCTCCCCTCCTCCTCCTCCTCCCCTCCTCCTCTCCTCCTCCCTCGCCCTCCTCCTCCATCGCCCTCCTCCTCCGCCTCCTCCTCTCCTCCCTCCTCCTCCTCCTCCTCCTCCTCCTCCTCCGTAGCCATTTTTGGCTCAAGGCTCTTTTTGAACCCAATCCGGCTCTGAAGGGTTTAATTAAGAGCCCCGCAGCTTAGCCTCAAAGCCCCCGTGCTTTCGGCAGTTCTGTGTGCTCTTGTCGGAGCACATCCACGTTCGGCTTCACCGCGCAGTGAGGCTGCCACATGCCCGGCAATGATGGCAAGCAGTCGAAGCTGCGGGAGCGGTCGGCTTCTCCTTCGTCTGGGGACGATCGTTCGGACTCTCGGACTCCGCCGCGTGCACCAGCCCTCCGCCGAGGCCGCGATCGTCGAGAATGGATACCGTGGTGAGCCCGCCGCCAGACAGGTCGACGCTGCCGAGGCCGTCCGCGCCTCGGATGCCGAAAACAGCATGGAGGACGTCGAGGCTGGCGAGCGGGCCGCTGCCACCGACGCCACTGTCGCTGTCATGGACTGCCACGACACCCTCAACCCCGAGGAGCGTCGTCCACCCGGTGCTGACCCTGCTGCGTCTGGCGTTCCTCCTCCAGCTTGCGTTCATCCTGTGCCTCGAGCTGGCCAAAATGGTGCACCCCGTGACCTTTGGCAAGCGCCAGCTTCCGCCGCTGGCCTCGAGTGTACCTGCGAGGAGGCTCGCGCCCCCATGGTGGCAGAACTGGCACGGGCCACCAAGACGGACCTTGTCAACCACACGTCGGAGCGGCTGCCTGTTACGGTCACCTCGGCCGTCCAACCCCTCCCCACCAAGCTCGAGCAGTCCATTAAGCGGCGCCTCGCCGAGCAGGACCTGAGGATCTGCGAGAGCGGCGATGAGATACAGCCCACCCGCGTACTAAGGATGGGCAGCCTTCCCAAGGGCACCCTTGCATCCTTGCCGTCTCGGTCCACCCTTTGCCACTTTCGTTGGCCGCACCCCGCTCGCAAAGCTTCGAGATGGGCGTCTAAGGCCCTTGCATCCTCAGCGCGCATCCTTATCATACGGGCTGACTGTAGACTCCGTGCGGAAGCGAGGAGAAGCCATAGAGCTGCGCTTGCAGGCTGGGGAGCGGGCGCTCCACCCTGCCCCGGCGCGAGTGGGCTCGCAAGACCGGCGTTCATCATTCTCAGCAGGGAGGACATCGCCAAGGACCTGGTGCAGCAAGCTCTTGCTCCATGGCTCAAGGCTGCCAACTGCAAGATCGGCGAGGAGTGCCGCCTGGAGGGTGAGGCGTTGGGCACTCTGCGCTTTTGGGGGCACGATGCTGTGGCCCAAAATCGCGTCACACAAGCTCACTCCCAGCAACGACTTGGAGATGGCCAGTGGCGTTCGCTCCAGGTCCAGATGCCCGGCGAACGAGCAGGATATCAGCAGGGCGATCGCCGTCAAGAAGTGCAGGACCGCTCTCGCGCCTTCTTCCAGAAGCCCGTGTACGCGGACCGGGAAAAGTGGGTTCTGTCCATCCAGTCGGAGAACGTGTCGAGGTGCATTCCTCCGACCCCCGAAACTATGGAACCTCGACTGCCTCGCGTCCCTCGGCACGACGTGGGGTGCTGTTGATGCTGTCGTGGAGTGCGCTCTTGGGGCTCGGGAGATCAGGTGGAGTGGGTAGCGCGCTATTTTGCCTGCGACGGGCGTTTCGCCCTAGCGTCGTGGAATACTCGGGCACTCACACATGTCAAATCCACGGTCATGAAGAAGAAGGTCGCCATGCTGGAGCAGCTGCTCCGCCCTGCGTATATCGTGGCGCTCCAGGAGGTTCATGCCGACTGGGATGCTCGTGACTCGCTTTTGCGTCGATCCCGACACTCGCACCAGATATCTTCGGCCCTTCCTGAGCGCGATAGGCAGGGCGGCGTGGCCACGATCGTGCCGACGGGCCCGACCTCACCATCACCCCCGAGATCACGGTTCCTGGCCGTATCCTGCTCACGGGGATCGTCCGCATCCCTTCGAACTTCGTACTCTACCAATGGAACGTCCACAACCACGACATTTCCAATGACGACTTCGGGCCGTTCGCCCGAAGATTCTGGGCGCAGGTGCAAGCTTCGCGATTCCATACGTCCAACTCGATGGTTTCCCTTGTTAGGGGGACTTCCAACATCGTCGACTCGACCGGCGAGCGGGTTCCAAGAGGCGCTCTTGACGGCTCTGGGCCTGATGCGGCTCCTCGGCAGGATCGTGCGGGCGACCGACGATGTAGACAATTTTGGAAGGAGTTGGTCGAGTTCGACGCCGAACATCGACGCACTGGCACCAGCCTACGCAGCGAACCACTTAGATCGACAGGGCGTTTACTTCGGCGCCGGCATGGTTTGTCATGAGGTTCTGGCAGTCCATGACCGTCGCGGACGAGCCGCAGGCATTGCACCGAGACTTGATCAGCGACCACGCGCCGATCATCTCACAGTGGGCTCCGAGGCCGCCTGGCGACCAAGATCGTGCCAGGCCGCTTCCCAGGCACATCGCGCAGGACCCAATGTTCTCGCAGCTGGTCGTGTAGTAGGAGCAGCTCGCTGGCATCGACCGCTCGTGGTTATCCGCTCCGTTCAGGCTGCGGTTGGCGGTCAAACGTTGCCGCCGTGGCGCTGCACGTGCCTCTCGCGATGTGCAGTTTCGAGCACGGCGGTTGGGTGCCCCACAAGTCGCCACGGTCTTCCGCACCGTCGCACGGGCGATCATGAGGCAGGATGCCGGTGCGGCTCGCGCCGTGCGGGCCTGGCACGAAAGGGCCCTGGAGTGCGTCGCCGTGGACGTCGGCGACCTCGGCGGCGCCCTCGCGGTCCGCAGCGCGAGCCCCGTCCGCTTCCAAGCGGCCTTCCGCGACGCCCAGGCCGCGGCGCTCCTTGAGGAGGAGACTCGCGCGCGCAGGTTGCGAGACTCCCAGTTTTCTGGCAGGCCCCTGGCGGCCCTCCTCAGGGGCCGACACAGCCCCCACCCTGACGCGTCGATTAGTGAATCGGCCGCTTGCGGTTCTCGAGAGGGCGCCACGGTCGTCATTTTCCAGGTTTGCGCCCGCGAGGTTTGGGCCCGAGGTCGCTTTCACTACAGTCGGGGCCCAAAAGAAGGAACCCTTTTTGTTGGGGAGGGGCTCCGCGTTCCTTAAGTGTTTCGCAGCTTGCCTCAGATTTTCCTTATGTTTTCGATCGGAAATCGAAGTTTAACTTATGGGAAAAAAGGGGCCTCGTTCCTTATTTAGGGTTCCTTAGGTCAACGCCCCGACGGTAAGCCACGTGTTACTCAGAGGGGGCTCTGCCCATCCCCGAGCCTCACTCCAGGAACCTCGGGGCCTCGCAGCGTCGCGCCCGCCTGCGGGACCCCGGCGGCCCCGGGCGATCTTTCGGCGGGCTGCAGTGCGGGGGCGAGGTTCTCTCGGCTCCAAGTTTGAGTCGGGCCTGTCCCTCTACAGGGGGGATATTCAAAACTAGTAATAAAACTCTGGGGACTATTTGTTGAGCATTTTTGTTGGCAATTTGGGAGTATGTTTTGCGTACCTCTTATTTCTTGTCGAAAATCCCCCCGTAGGGGGACACGCCCGACTTTACTCCAAGTTCAAAAAGCTCGCGGCCCGGCAAGCCATCGGGCGCCGATCTTCCAGGGCGCCTCGGTGCGCCCCCGCCGGCGGCGACCGGCACATGGAGTGCGTCGCTCGCCCAGATGACTCTGCGGACCTCCCTCCCCCCTCCCGGACCTCACACTAGTGTGAGGTCGGGCCTGTCCCCCTACAGGCGGACGTTGCTCGAACAAAAAGAAATACCCCAAAATGCCCCCCAACAATGTTCAAAAATGGTCGCAAAAGCGTCCCACGGCTATGTTCTGACTATTTTTGAACTTTCCCCCTGCAGGGGGGCAGGCCCGACCTAAAACAGGTGGCACGCGTGCCCCGGCTCCTCGCACCAGGGAGCTTGCGAGGGACGGGCGGCTCTCGCCTCCTCCCTCCTCCAGGAGCCTCCCTCCGTGACCCGGGGAGGGAGGACGAAGGACGAACGAGAGAGCGACGACGACGAGCGAAAATGAAGAGGTCCGAGCTTTAAGTCGGGCGTGTCCCCCTACAGGGTGCATATGCAAAAATAGATAAAACATAGTCAGGGGACGATGTTCTGACCATTTGTGAATCTTTTTGGGGCATGTGGGGAGTATGTTTTATTTTTCGTCCAAAATCTGCATTCAGGGGGACATGCCCGACCAACTCCGAGCTCCAGAACACCGCTGCGCAGGAGAATCGAGCAGACGTCGGGGTGCGCCCTGGACCCCGCGCCTGGCCCTAAGACGGCTTGCCGTGCACGCGTGCTGGAGCATCGGTGCAGGCCCCTCCTCCGAGCTGGCGGCACGTCGTGGTGGATTCCTCGCGGAGCCCCCGTGGATCCAAGTTTTGGTTCCTCCTTTGTCGGCGTTCCCCCCCGAAGGCTGCACTCCAGCCGATCTGGGGCACGTTGTGGTGGAGTCCTCGCGGAGCCCCCGTGGATCCAAGTTTTGGCTCCTCCTTTGTCGACGTTCCCCCCCGAAGGTTGCACTCCAGCCGATCTTGGGGCCTCGGCCCTCGTGCGAGCTGCTCGGGACGCTCGTCCGCTCGGCGTGGAGACCACCTCTAAGCAGGGCAGTCGCATCGGCGATCCACCGATGCAAAACAGAGTTGTGCGCGGGCGGTCCTTCATTGACAACATCGTCGCGTTAGACTCGCTCGTTCGGATCGGCAGCGTTCAAAAGGGCTCCCCGCCGGAGGCCCTCTCGAGAGATCGGCTCCCGCTGCTGCTGTCTTCTCTTATCCCTCCCCGCGTTCGACAGGACCACGGCCCCTCCGCGCGGCTCGGGCAGTTCGCCTGCCCGTGGGGATGCCAGGCAGCAGTCGCAGAGCTCGACGTCCTCAACGCGCGCTGCTTCTGCGACGGCGGCGCCGCGCTGCGTCCGCCCCCCCTGCACGGCGGCAGGGGTGCCAGAGGGCCGCCCCCCGAGTAGCTAGCTCGTTCTTCCTGGTCGTGCCGAGCCCCTGCTCCTGGGGCGTGGAGCGGAGGGTCGCGCGCCGGCACCCGGGGCTCCCCGAGGGCGCTCGTCGACGAGGTCGGGGCCGTGGGGTTCCGCGTGGCTGGGTGTCGGGCAGCTGGCGCGCGGATGTCGGCTCGCGAGCGTCTGCGCCCGCCTGGCTCCGACCTCTGGCAGCTGCCAGGTCGCTCCTCTGAGGAGAGAAGCTCTCTGCGACCCTCTGGCCCTGGCCTCTCGGGAGCTCCTTGCCCGGGTCGATTCGGGCCATGGGCGAAGTTCGGGGCCCGGGGGAGGCTCACCTGTCTCGGAGTGGAGCTCGGCCCGTCTGCGTCGGTCGAGCTCCAATGGGGTGCCCTCTCTTGCAAGCTACACGCACGCGTCCTCTCCGCCAGCCGCTGCACCGCCGATGGCGCCAGGAGCCTCTTCTGCTACCACACGAGGTGCCTCCCGGTGCTGTCGTGCAAGGCCCAGCTATTCCCGAGAGACAGAAGCATGGCCATCCAAGAGCGCCACATGTTCGCCTCCCTCTGGAGGCCCCCGATCTCGAATCTGCTTGAGGAGGGGTGGTTTGGACTTCGAGAAGTCGGAGGCCCAGCGTTCCGATCGATGTGGGCACACGGCGCCGCATCCAGGACGCGCGCCGCCTTTGTGGCGCTCCAGCCGAGGCCCGTGGAGTTCCGCCGACTGCGCCGCGTCGTCTGGCAGTTCGGAGCCCCCGCATAGCTTGCCGTTTCCTCCCTCGCTCCTCCTCTCTGGTCCTCGCCCTCTATCGCCTTCCTCCTCGAGTCTGCCGCCCATGGTTCTCCGTCGTCAGCCAACTTGTCAGAACCAGGCCATGAGTGCTTTTCTCTGCTCCGAGCGGGCTCGACCAACGGCGGCCCCGGAAGCTGTGCTGCAGGTAGATCCCGGTGGCAACCACAGTTTCAGGCGCGATGTTCCAGCAGGCTCTCCTCCGACGCGTGATCGGGGCCACGCTGGACCGCAGGATCACCGAATGGTTTCCCCCGAGGGGCGGAGGGGGGCTGGTGGACCGGGGTGAGGTGAGAACGGCCGTGCGGCGGCTTCCGTTCGCGTGGCGGTCCGCCACTTGTAAAGTTTGGCTCGGCGCGTGGACCATGTCCCATCGAATGAGGCGGGCACGCTCGGGCTGGATTTTCGGCTGCGATTCGACCTGCGATGCAATGCCGCACTATGTCACGGAGTCCCCGAAGCTTTCGACCCTTGTCTCGCTTGTTCTCTCTCGCGAGGTTCCCGGGATCCCAGGGTCAAGCTTGGTCTCTTTCGTGATATTGACCAGGATGGGTTCGATATTGTTGTCACCGTATGTTTTTTCAATGCATTTCGGCTATGTTCCGCCCGTCGCCGCAGCGAGATGGCTGCGCAGGACGTGCCACGGCTCGGTGAAGCTGTGAGGGTTGCGATTCGCCTTCCGCTGCTGGGGCCCCATGTGCGATTTTGGGCTCAGCGGGAAGCTCTGAGGCGCACCGGCGGAGAATTTGTTGCGCTTCCAGGCCACGCGCCACCTTCTCCTCCCCCCCCCTCCTCCTCCTCCGTCTCCTCCTCCGTCTCCTCCTCCGTCTCCTCCTCCTCCTCCTCCGTCTCCTCCTCCTCCTCCTCCTCCTCCTCCTCCTCCTCAGAGGACGGCAAGATTGGCTCGTCTCTGCGGGCGGCTGGGCAGGCCAGCGGGGCGACCTCCTCAGCCACAGCCCCTCAGCGCAGGCTTGCCGGGTCACGCTCGGAGCCGCCGGATCCCTCGGAGCCGCTGTCAGAGGCCAGCGGTGGCGCTTCACCGGTGGATATCCCAGAGACTTCCGCCGTTCTGCCCACCGACCGCCTGAAGAGAGGGGGTAATTGACGATGCTGTGGCTTGCTTGGGCGCCCTTGGGAGGGCAAGGGGGAGGTCGAGGGAGGAGGGGTCATCCTGCGTCCAGGACCGCGCCCAAACCTCTGGGATCCCCCATGGCCCCTCAGTCAGGGAGGAGGCGCATTGCGAGAGTACCGAGGTGCCGCGCACACCCAGCGCCCTTCCAAATATTGCGAGAGTTTTTGGGTACCGTGCACTTCCGGGCGATAGGTACCAGCTTCTTTGATCCCTGGTTCCCTTTCCAAAACACTCTTTCCGACCCCTGTGTTGTTGTTGTTGTTGTTGTTGTTGTTGTTGTTGTTGTTGTTGTTGTTGTTGTTGTTGTTGTTGTTGTTGTTGTTGTTGTTGTTGCTAACACCTGGCCGCTGGCCGTCGCATGTGTCAAGTTGGTGTTGTTGCCCTCCGTCGCCGTGCTGCTTTACAGTCTTCCAGGTCCACACATGCGAGTGCGATCCCACGCGCCAGTGCACAGCTACACAAGGAGGGGAGGGGAGGAAAGGTTCCGGATAGCGAGCTGTCGGGAGGTGAGGAAACGGGGGCGAGGTCCTTCGTGGGAGCACCAGTGCAGCTGAAAGGAGGCAATCCTGCTGCCTCGCAGCCCGTCTGTCTGAGCCGTGCCAGAGCAGGCCATGCAGATGTGCTGCCAATAACGCACACTGTTTCGAATTATCTTGCTGAGGCCGCGCTACTCGGAGGCTGTCTCTAGAACCGATGCCAGTGAGAGCCTCGTTCGGATTGCAGTATGAGGTGCTTCTGCGAGTGCAGATCCCTCTATGCGGAGGGCGGAAGCAAGCTTGACAAAACGAGGGATGACCGACCACTAGACATTGGGTAAGCTCGACAGTGATCGCCACAAATTTGGGCGTGTCAGTCCACACAATTCTCAACTTCCGTTGTTATCTTGCGAAGGGCATGCGAATCTGTCCGGCAGGGGGTGAGGAGAGTGAGCAGGGTGGGCAAAGCTATATACATAGACATCTATTCGCAGATCTTCATCAATATATATATATATATATATATATATATATCTAATCTTATCTATATATATATATATGTACACACTCATATTGTGTACCCCCCCCTAGGGCTCCGACCCGCACCTCGATGACATCTCGGGACAATCCCGGTACCGCCCTCCGGGGTCTCCCAAGCGGCCCCATGAGAGCCTTGGGACGCCCTCCCGGGTCTCCGGGGCCGCCCCAGGAAGCTCCGGCACGGCCCTGGAGCGCCTCCGAGACAGCCCAAAAGGTTTTGAGACCGCCTACGACAGGGACCGCACGGCTGAAGAGGCTCCCACGACGAGCACCCAAGAGAACGCCAAGAAGCCCCCAACAGCCCAAAAAGAGCTCCGAGGTAGCCCGAGTGAGGTCAAAATATTTAAATCAAAAAACGGGCGGACAAAATATGTGTCTGGAGTTCTTTCATTTTCGCCTCCGATACGGTTCCGAGGCTTGCGCGCGACCCCCAAGGGCGCCCCAAGATGCTCCCAAGAGGCGCTAGCGCACCCGAGGGGCCTCAAGAGGCCACAAGAGACTACCATGACGCCCGAAGAAGCACCAACGAAACTCCAAAGACGCTACCAAGAGGCTCCGAAGAGCCTTCAGGAGGCGCCCAAGAGGCCCCCAAGAGGCTCATAAGAGGCTCACAGAGGCGCGAGAGGCCCCCAAGTGGCCACCAAGAGGCCCTCAAGAACCCCCAAGAGGTCCACAGGAGGCCCCCAAGAAGCTCCAAGAGGCCCCAGGAGGAGCCCCAAGAAGCCCCAAGAAGGTCTTCAACACGCCTCACAGAGCCCCAGGGAGATGCCCACGAGCCATCCAAGATCATCCCAGCTGGCGCCGAGCTCGGAGGAGGCGGCTCCTCTGTCCCCCTCCGTCCCCCAGCGGTTCTCCAGCCTCGGGGGTGCTTTCCAGCAGCTGCGCCTCGCCGAGGGCATTCCAGGCTTACGTCGGGCGTGTCCCCCTACCGGGGGATCTTCGACGAAAAATGAAATAAACACCCCCCAAATACACCAAAAAGGTCAAACACATCAGCAAAAAATGGTCACCCGATTTGTTTTGTTTTTATCATTTTTGGTGTATCTTCTATGTTTCGTCGAAAATCCCCCTTTAGTGGGACAGGCCCGACTTCAGTCCGGGGTGTCTGGATCGTTCCGATCGGCCGCTGGACATCCGAGCTGTGACGCGAAAACCAGAGGGCAACGTCGGCAGGGGGGATAGGCAAGGCTCAGGAGAGGAAGCGTCGATACTCAATCGAGACAAATCGTCGACGCGTCGCCGCTACATCGGGCCCGATCGCACACACCCCGAGCACCGTGCGGATTCGCTATCGGAGGCCTGTCGCAGATGAGGAGGGAGGGACGAATGTTCAGGCCTCCCAAGAGGGGTCCGAGCACGCAGGTGGGCTCACGCAACGCCGACTCGTCGACGATGCATCGGCGACGTCGGGATGATGCTTAGATGATCGTGCTCCGGCTCCGACTCCATCTGCTCGGACCCTTTTTGGGGGGGGGCCTGGGACCGAGGGGGGCAAAAAAGACGAGGAAGGGACGAGGGCTCCATGCCTGCGCCCCTTGATCCCTACCGCTGACCCTCACCATGCCCAGTCCCTCTTGCAGGGGCCCCTCTCGGCGACTGCAGTGGGCGCGGTTGCGCCAGGCTGTGGCTCGCGATCGGCCCCGTTGGGGCTTGGGGCGTCCCCGCGTGGCGCCGAAGGTTTGGTGAGCCCTCGTCGGGGCGCGGCAGAGATCTCTGTCGAGGTCCTCGCCCGCACCCACCCCCGGCGCATCCCAAAGCGGCCTGGATGGAGGAGGAGGAGGAGGAGGAGGAGGAGGAGGAGGGGGAGGAGGAGGAGAAGGAGCAGGAGGAGGAGGAGGAGGGCGGGAGGAGGAGTAGGATGAGGAGAGGAGGAGGAGAGGAGGAGGAGGAGGAGAGAGAGGGAGGAGGAGGAGGAGGAGGAGGCGAGGAGAAGGAGGAGGAGGAGGAGGAGGTGGAGCAGGAGAAGGAACAGGAGGAGGAGGAGGAGGAGGAGGAGGAGGGGAGGAGGAGGAAGGAGGAGGAGGAGGAGGAGGGCGGGGAGGAGGAGGAGGAGGAAAAGGAGGAGGAGGAGGAGGAGGAGGAAGAGGAGGAGGAGGAGGAGGAAGAGGAGGAGGGGAGGCCAAAAACATGCTTGTCAGCAGGTTGCTGCAGTACCTGTTGTGCTCTCGTTCTTCCTGGCTCTCGAACGCCCAAGGCCGCCCACGAGGTCTCCCAGAGGGCCCCCCCAAGAGAGCGCCAACAAAATGGCCCCAGAGGGCCGCAAGATTGCCCAAGAAGGCTCTAAGACGGCCCAAGAGTTAAGTCGGGCCTGTCCCTCTACAGGAGGAATATTCAAAAATAGTCTCACACACAAAATATGGGGACGCTTTCCTGAGTACGGTGTACCTTTAAAAAAACTTGTGTTGACCATTTTGTATCGTTCGTCCACAGTCCGCCTGTAGGGGGACATGCCCGACCTAACCCAAGAGGGCGTCGGGGCCGTGCGACGGCCGAAGAAGTCTCCCAGACAGCCCAAGAGGGCGTCGGGGAGGGCTTCAAGGGCGCGATAGGTTTCAAGACGGCGGAGTCAGGTTTCAGATGATTTCGAGCATGTCTGTAAATGTGTCAGACATTCGCTGCTGTGTTCATAAACCCCGCGAATCCAAGGATTCCAAGCCCTTTCAACGCATGCGAATGCATGCCAACGCACGCAGAGGAACGTCAACGAATGCCAATGCATACCACGGAGTACCAACCCACGCAAACGCATGCCATCGCATGCCACCGCATGCGAACGCACGCAGCCGCATGCAAACGCATACCACCGCATTCCCACGCCAACGTATGCCAACGTGCGGCACAGCACGCCGCCGCATGCCAAGGCATACCACCGCATGCCGACGCATGCCAATGTATGCCAACGCAGGCCACCGCAGGTCTACGCATGCCACCATATGCCAAAGCGTGCGAACGCATGCCAGCGCATGCCAACGCATGCCAACGCATGCCAACGCATGCCAACGCGCGCTACCGCATGCCACCGCATGCCACCGCATGCTACTGCATGCTACTGCATGCCAACGCGTGCTACCGCATGCTACTGCATGCCAACCGCGTGCCAAGGCGCGCCGCCGCATGCCACCGCATGCCAACGCATGCCGAGGCATGCCACCGCATGTCAACGCGTACGAACGCATGCCACCGCATGCCAACGCATGCCAACGCACGCGAACTGATACCTACACATGCCACCATATGCCAAAGCGTGCGAACGCATGCCACCGCAGGCCTAAGCATGCCATCGCATGCCGGTGCATGCCAACTTATGCCGCCGCATGCCACCGCGTGCCAACGCATGCCAACGCATCCCAAGGCGCGCCGCCGCATGCCACCGCATGCCAAGGCATGCCAACGCATGCGAACGCGTGCTACCGCATGCCACCGCGTGCGAAACGCATGCCGCTGCTTGCCAAAAGCATGCCACTGCATTGCAACGCATGCCAACGCATGCCACCGCGAGCCAACGCATGCCTCCGCGTGCCAACGCGCGCCGCCGCACGCCACCGCGCGCCAACGCATGATACCGCATGGCAACGCGTACGAACGCATGCCACCGCATGCAAACACATGCATACGCATGCCAACGCACGCCAACGCATGCGAGCTGATAGCTCTGCATGCCACCGCATGCCAAAGCGTGCGAACACATGCCAACGCATGCCAACGCATGCCTACGCATGCCAACGTATGCCAATGCATGCGAACTGGCATCTACGCATGCCAGCGCATGCCACCGCATGCCAACGCGTGCGCACGCATGCCGCCGCATGCCAACGCATGAATTCGCATGCCAGCGCATGCCAACGCATGCCAACACATGCCACCGCATGCAAACGAATGCGAGCGCACCCCATCACGTCTCAGCGCCTGCGAACGCATGCCATCCCATGTCACCACGTGTCAACCTATGCTCATATGTCCCAACGCATGTCAACGGATGCCGACGTGTGCTCATGCGTTCCAACGGCTGCTTACGCTTGCGACAGAATGCCAGTGCCGAGGGCACGTTGCACCATGCCGCCACGCTTCAGCGCATGCGAACGCGTGCCTCCATATGCGGAAAAAAACAAGGATCATGGAGATGATGGGCAAGCCTGCCACCAAGAAGCGCAGCTCCATGGCGCGCAGCAGCTTCATGACGCGCGTCCTCTCAGCGGCGCGCCCGGACGCGATCGACCCCGATGATGCATTCACCGCGGATCAGCTTCGGGCATTCTGGTCCGCGTGGGACAAGCGCATCCAGCTGCAGGGCCGGCGCGCTCCGACCAAACAGGACATCAGGAGGCTCCCGTGCACCGTTGGACGCACGCCAGATAACGCTGCGATGTCCGGTCTAGTACTCGAGATCACGGAGGAAGATGCCAGCAACTACGCCGACATCGACGGCCACTGCGCCCCCCATTGGATGGCGACGGCGGAGTGTCTCCTGATCCTGCAACACCTCGGCGTCGAGGGGCTCTTTCCCATTGCCCACCCTTCGTCGTTCACCGACTCGGGCCCAGGAACATGCCTGGACTCTTGGACCGCTGGCGCCATCCACGGAGTGCTCCACTGCTCCGGGTGACACTGCGTCGTCGCCTTCGACAGCGCCGCCCCCGAGATCTACCAGATCCTGCAATACCTTGGCGTCTCTGACGACAACGATTGCGCAGAGGCCAGGTTCCTACGCAACCATTGGGGAGGGCTGCCGTCGTCCCCTTCAACGCCGACGAGGGTGACTGCGTGCCCGACGCGGTCCGTCTGATCGCGTCCTTCGTCCGCGCCCGCGCCGACGCCAACCCCTCCACGCCGATCAGAAAGCCGCCCGCCAAGGAGCGCACACTCCCGTGCGTCAGCGCCGACTACATCAACGACGCCGGCGGCTTCGACACCAGCACCGACTCTATCAACGACTCCACGCACGGCCCCATCAACGACTCCATCGACGAGGTGGGCATTGCCAACTCGTGGGCCTTCATTGGCTGCGCGAGGGCGACTGCACGTTGTCGGCGTGTGCCCAGGGAACTCACTTCCTGTGGTTGCGCCAGAGATGGCGAAATCGCATTGCACCGAAATCGCATCGCATTCCAATCACATTGTATTGGAATCGCATTGCATTGCAATCGGAGCCCCAGTGGGCCTGGACCAAGCTGGAGCGCCCGCCAGGCCTCCCTGGCAGCCAGGGCCTGGTTCGCCCTTCCTGGCCCCCTCCCCGGAGAGGAAACAATGCTTCGAGGGGCCCTGCCCCACGCGCCCCCCCCTCCCCGGGGGGGGAAACAAAAAGCCGCCCCCCCCCCCCTGGGGGGAAAGAAAAACAAAAGAAACAAAACACCAGGGGGGAAAAAACAAAACCGCCGGGGCGCCCCCCCGGGGGGGGAAAGAGAGAGAGAGAGATAGAGACACACACACACACGCACACATATATATATTATATATATATATATATTCTACATATATATAATATAAAAAAGCGCCGCCGGGGGGAAACAACAAAAAGCCCCCCCCCTGGGGGGGGGGGGGAACCGCCGGGTGTGGGGGGGGAAGGCCGCGCCCCGCCTGGGGGAAAACCAAAACAAACAAAAAACCTCGGGGAGGGGAGGGGAACGCTTCCCGAGGCGTCGGCCCAAAGTTCCCCGAGGCCTCTCTCGGAAGATTTGGTCGACGACGACGACGACAATGTGGATGCTCATGTTGGTGATGCTGACGCTGATGATGGGTAGGACGATGACGGTAACGACGCGCAAGATTAGCATGAGGGTATTCACGGTGAGGAGAACAAGGGCAATGACGATGATTTTGACTATGACGACAACGACGACGTCGACGATGACGATGACGATGGTGATAAAGATGATGATGACGATGATGATGATGATGACGATGATGATGATGGTGATGATGATGATTATGTTGATGATGGTGATGATGATGATCGTGCTGCTGCTGATGATGATGCTGATGCTGACGATTTTGCTGATGATTAGGGTGGTGATGGTGGTGGTGGTCGTGGTGATAATGATGTTGATGATGATGACTATGATGATGCTGCTGATGATGATGATGGCATGGTGATGCTGGTGACGGTGATGGTGAGGGTGATAATGGTGATGATGAGGATGATGCTGAGGATTAGGAGCGACTATGGTGATGGCAACGTGGGCGATGGCGATGAGAATGGCAATGACGAAGATGATGGCGACGGTGATGATGATGGTGATGGTGACTGCGATGGTGATGATGAGAACGACGATGAGGGTGAGAATGAGAATGAGGATGATGATGTTAGCGACGATGACGACAATGATGAGGAGGTTGACGACGACGGTGATGACGTCAACGATTAGCGTGACGGTGGTGATGGTGATTGTGATGTTGATGATGATGGCGATTGTGATATGTTTGATGATGGTGATGATGAGGATGAAAATGGTGATGACGATGTTGATGATGATCGAAGTCTGCACGATGATGACCACGATGAGGCGCGAGGTCGTCGGAGTCTCTTCTCTGTGGATGGCAGTCGCCCAGATGCTCACGATGGCCTCACTGGGATCATCTTGGCGACGGTGGAGGCGACGGTGACGATGACGACCATATCATGATGATGGTCATGTCCATGTTCATGATGATGTTGATGCTGATGGTGACGACGATGCTGAAGAGTAATACGATGAAGGTGATGATGATATTGGCGACGCTGACCATGAGGCTGGTCACGACGATGATGATCATTACGATTTCTCCCGCCCGCTATCCGACGGCCGCGCTAGAACTCGAGCGCGCGCGAAGCGCGCGGGATGGGTCTAGTATATGTGTATAATATACACACAATATATATATATGTGTGTATGTATGTATGTATGTATATACATACATGTTAGATGTATGAACACATATACGCATACGTGTACATAAGTGTATGTACCTATGGGTACCAGAGGCTACTTGATGGATCTAACGAGGCGGGGGCACCCTTGTCTGTCCTCCAACCGAGCGTTACCACATTGTGGGCCACGTTGCGCAGGGCGGATATGCTGCCACACCAACCGCGGGCAATGTATTGTATGAGATGGGTTGGCAAAGCCATTGAGTGTGAATTCGACAGGTCTTGTCTTGTCACCTTCCCTCCATCAGCAGACGGGGGCTAGCGGATTATGAATGCACGAACTTCAAGCCAATGCATCAGTACAGTGCAAGGCGTGTTTTCGGCGAACGACGCGGAGACACGGCCAGTCTCTTCCCGCTCCTCATCCGATTCAGCCAGAGCCCTGCGGCAGAGCGTCCTGCAGGTGGGGCGTCACCCCTCTCCCTCGCATCTCGTCATACTGTCTTCTCTCACCTCCCCTGGTCATCCTCATACATACCTCCTCCCTCCCTCCTCACCCCTCCCTTCCTCCCCACTCCTCCTCAGGTGGCCCTCGCGGCCTCCCTCCCTCCCTGCCTCCCTCCTCCCTCCCTCCCTCCCTTCTCGCCCCTCCCTTCCTCCCCCACCCCTCCTTCCTCCTCACCCCTCCCTCCCTCCCCCGCTTCTCCTCAGGTGGCCCTCCTCGCGGCCTCCCAGACCGCTGCTGCGCCCGCGGCGCATCCGCAGCTGGCCGCCGGCAGCGCCGCGGAGCCGGCGGCGCGTCATGCTCCTGCTCCTGCTCCTGCTCCTCCTCCTCCTCCTCCTCCGCCTCCTCCTCCGCTCTCTCCTCCTCCTCCTCCTCCTCCTCCCCCCTCCCCCTCCTCCTTTCCTCCACAATTATTCAATATGAATACAACTCTCCCTCTTCCCCCGATGGCGGCCTGAAAGTATTAGACCCCCCCCGCGTATTGTTTTTTCACAGGATTCCCGGGAGTTGGGTTTTCGCTTGCGTTTTTTTCAAAATGCTGCTCTCGCTGAGGCGCCGGCCTCATTTCTGCTCCCGAATCGTTCCGAATCGTGCTCCCGCTGCAGCGTGGGCCTCATTTTCGGATCGGTGTTTGGCCTCCGTCGTTCAGGATGGCGTTCTCGCCCCAGCGCGGGCCTCTTTCTCGCGCGCCCATCCGCCCGCCACCACCGCGCCGCACCGCCACCACCACCACCACCACCACCACCACCACCACCACCACCACCACCACCACCACCACCACCACCACCACCACCACCACCACCACCACCACCCACCACAACCACGCACACACGCACGCACGCACGCACGCACCACCACCCACTACGCACGCGCGCGCGGAGCCACAGGTCCGCTACGACACGCGTCCGCGGATAGAGAAAATCAGCGCCATGGTAAGGGATGGGATCGACGGGTAGGACGTCAGATATGACGCGAGCGCACCTAGCTTGCCATCCTCCCCCTCCCCCTCCTCCCCCTCCCCCTCCTCCCCCTCCTCCTGGAGGCGTTCGGGGCCCCCTCTCGCGGGTTGTTTTGTGGGTTGTCTCGTGAGTTGTTCCGTGGGTTGTGCCACGGCTTGTTTGTCCCGTGGCAATATTCCAGGTTGCCTTGGTGATTTGTACTTTGAGTTATCCCGCGGGTTGTCTCGTGCGTGGTCTTGTGGTTACCATGTGGGTTGTCCCATGTGTTGTTCTGTGGGTTGTCCCATGGGTTGTTCGTGGGTTTTCTCGTGGACTGTCTGGTGGGTGGTCAGGTGGAATGCGCAGTGGATTGTTTCTCAGATTGACCCGTGGATTGTCCTGTGGGTTGTCCCGCGGGATGTCCTGGTGTTGCCCCATGGGTTGAGTTTTGGGTTACATTGTGGATTGTCTCGTGTTGCCGTGTGGGCTATCCACATGCAAATACTGAGATCATCGTTTTGGCAGATGGGCCGTCACATTGTCATTTAGCTACCAATTGCGCGCGAATGTCCGGGACACGTACATGTTTCGATAGACGGGTACGTTGATTATTGCCAACCCGACGCGAAGCCAAGCGCAACTTGAGAGCTGTACCCATCCCTCCCCGCCCCCGTAACAACAAAAATGCTATATCACCCGAAGGTCGGTCTATGAGGTGGAGGCGGCGTACCAGGAGGGGACTTTGGATGGGAGGGTGTAGAGCAGCATGTGATGCACGTTGAGTCGATTTTCAGCATCACCATCATAATATTTTAGTTCCCCCTTCTCCTCAGCCTCTCCAGTCTCTTCCTCATCATCACCGCCCCCCCCTCATCTCACCATCGACTTCTCCTTCATCATCGACCCCCCCTTCATCTCACCATCGACTTCCCCGTCCTTGTCTCATCCTCCCCTCCGCCTCTTCCTCCTCCTCCTCCTCGCCTTTTCTCCTCCCTCTCGTTCTCCTCCTCCCCGCTCCTGCGGAGGCTTCGGCGCCCCTGCTGCCCACGGCAAGCTGGCCTCCATATCGGGCTGAGCACGAGCTCTTCCTGGGGCCGTGAGATTGGAAAGCGATATGGGGGAGGAGGAGAAGGAGGAGCAGGAACAGGAGGGGGATGGAGAGAGAAAGGAGGGTGGAGGAGGAGCGAGGAGGGAAGGGCGGTGGAGCTGAACTAGAAGGCACGTGGGGTTCTAGGAGGTGTCCCGGTGCTCGAAAGTTCCTAGGGGGCCCAAGAAGGAAGAGGAGGGGAGGAGGAGGGAGAAGGGAAGAGGAGGAGATGCATGAGGATGCGAAGAGAGAGAGGGAATCAGGACCAGTGGCTAGAGCAAAGACAGGAGAACGAAGAGCAGGACAGGGGATGGCTGGCCTAGAATTCGGCGTTGGAGATCCATACGCCCATGTGCGTCGCTGCTAGCTTTTCTGATCAAGGTTCATGTGCGATTGCTCTCGCCACACCTCGTACCCCTGCTCCTTCACTGCCACCGTTTGCATTGTATCTCCAGACACTGCTTGCACTTAGGGGCTCTTACTTGTGTTCTAAGGAATTGGCCCTGAAGGTCGGTCTGGCCGCCATGTAGTCGGCGTCGCCGCCCCGTCGCCGCCTCGTCGCCGCTCGCCGTCCGGGCCTGAAGGTCGGTCTGGCGGCTCTGTAGTCGCCGTCGCCGCCCCGTCGCCGCCCGTCGTCTGGGCCTATCTGTCGGTCTGGCGGCTCTGTAGTCGCCGTCGCCGCCCCGTCGCCATATCGTCGCCGGCCGTCGTCTGGGCCTGTCTCTCGGTCTGGTGGCTCCGTGGCCGCCGTCGCCGCCCCGTCGCCACCGAGATTCCTTGTTAGGAAAAGAGCGAGGATCTACCACCACCCCGAGGCCGGAATTATCAGCACGCCCTGGGGATGCGCAATTTAGATACGATTTTGCCCCATCGTCCATTCGAAATATGCAGCCCGACCACCCTAACAAAACCCTTCACACCATCCTTTGCAAGAAGCTCCATGCGGCAAGACGCGATTATCACAACTCCTCACTTTACCACAATACCTTGCAAAAGACGGATGATGCGCACACGCGCGCGTCGTCGCGCGCATGCCGAATTCCCTCAATAACGGTAGGTTCTGCAAGGGGTTCAAGATCGAGTGTCCCGGAACTTTCTTCACTAATTAAAGCATCGTTTTGCATCATGCGTTTTCAGCGCAAAGTCTGCCCGCGCTCTTGCGAATTCTTCAGACACCCGTGGTTTTCCAATATTTGCATTACATGCGACCCAACGGGCCCCTCGCGCGCGCATGCCGGAATCATTCGCACGCCCAAAAGCGCGTGCTGGGGGGGGCGCGATCATTGAAACATTATACCATGTGGGCCAGTCGCGCCCGTCGTCCGCGCGCGCATGTCGATATCCTTCCCAAAACCTTCACCGACGCGTGGACACCATCATCGTCATCGGCATGATCAGCATCGGCACCGTCATTGGCTTCGCCGTCGTCATCTTCGTCGTCGTCACAAGCACCATTACCATCATCATCGTGCCTGCCGTTGTCGACGTCGCCATGATACCGCGCACGCCCGACCCACCGACTCGCACTGAGGTGCCCGCGCGTCAGCGCGGCTTGCGAGACGCGTTGGGAAGTCTCCAACGGTCAGCGCCACCGCGGCCACGTCGGTCGCGCCAGTCTAGCTGGCCGCTCTGCGCGCGAGCCTGCGTTTGCTAGCGCGGCATGCAGCGACACGCCACCCAGCGCCAAGGAGTCATCGCAATCGCCGCCGCATGCGTTTTGCAAACCAAAAGTTCGGGAGGGTGGGTGGGATGAGTGCTCGAGCAGCGGAGCTGACAATATTAAGCTCGGCAGGGCAAGTTTCACAACGTAGATTGCACCACGCAGGGTCTCTTGATTCCCCCTGGGATGTGCACCTTGCAGATGACCTTGGCCCTGCTTTCATTATATATATGAATTCGTCGCATCCCAGCCAATCGGGGCCCCCCCCCTCAACTTCGCCAGATCAGATTCTGCGCGCGCATTTTTTTTACCACACGGATTTGCAAACGCGTACACGACAACAGCGCGCGTCGCCACGCGCGCATTCCGATATCGGCACAGCAATACGCACGTTTCGTGAGCATCCCGACATCGAGTACCCCGAAAACCCGTAATAAAGCACACGGTTTTGCAACATGGCCTTCGCAAAGAAAAAGTAAAACACATGCGCGCTTGCGAATTCTGAAGACAGCCGTTGGTCCTTCAACATGTTCACAAGATTCTACCAAACGGGCCCCCCGCGCGCGCATGCCGAAATCATTCGAACGCCTTTGCGCGCGTGTTGGGGGGGCACGATCCTTATCAAATAGTACCATGTTGGCCGTTCGCGCCCGTCGGCAGCGCGCGCATGTCGAAATCCTTCCGAAACATTCATCACCGACGCGTGGACACCATCATCGTCACCGGCGTAATCAGCATCGGCGCCGTCATTGGCTTCGCCGTCGACATCGACGTCGTCGTCACCAGCATCGCAACACTCATCATCGTGTTTGCAGCAGTCGACGTCGCCATGATACCGCGCCCGCCCGACCCACCGACTCGCATTGAAGTGCCCGCGCGTCAGCGCGGCCTGCGAGACGCAATGGGGAGTCCACCGCGGTCAGCGCCACCGCGGCCGCGTCGGTCGCGCCATAAGACGTGGTTGTTCTGCGCGAGCCTGCGCGCATTAGCGCGGCATGCAGCGACGCGCCACCCAGCGCCAAGCAATCATCATAATTGCCGCCGCATAGGTTGCACCGAAAAAAGGATGCTCCACATAGGTTGTACCGCATGAACTGTACCGCAAACGTTGTACCATATAGATTGCACAACATATATTACAGCGCACAGATTGCACCGCGCCGGTCGCACTTCAACGATTCCGTATCACATGCATTGCACCACAAATATTGTTCCGCATACACTGCGCCACATGTATTGCGCAACATAGGTTGCACCACACTGAATACACCACATAGGTCCCACCGCGAATATTGCGCACCACCTATTGAGCACACCTTGTATTGCACAGCATGATTTGCACAACCGAGACCGCACCATATGTATCGAGCATAATTTGCGCCACATATATTGCACGACGCAGACAGATTGCACTACGTAGGTTGCACCACTTGTACTGGTCCACGTAGATGCACCCGACAGCTATTGCTAGAACCACACGCACTGTTTGGGGCCCACGCTGGCTAAACGAATTGTTAGAGTAATCCGAGTTGTCTTCCTCATCCGAGCCGCCCATACTCCCCAGTTTGTTTCTCCATCGGCCCTTCTCCCGCTTCCACGTTTCCCCGCTCATCTGCATTCGCCTGCTGTCCGATTCGGCACAACGCAAAAGGTTGAAATCGATCGTCGTCTGCGAAGTTTACACGCAATCTCGGCGTATCATCGCCCTTGCCATGAGCCGCCGCCACCGCCTCCTCTCTTTCCAGCCACAGTCCAAGGAGCCACCCTAAGCAAGCAGTTTGTTATGTTGCATGTTGTTTACTTTCAAGATAGGTGGCTTCCGTCACATTATGTCCTAATGGTAGGTTGCATTGGTAGGACAGCGGCATCATGATTCGCCCCCTGAATCTGGCTTACCTGGGGGCCGATGCGTCTCGAGGGCGGTCCTGGGCCCTCCCCGAAAGGCCCGTCCCTGTACAAATCAGTGGTGCCCCCCGCGAAGCCACTGGAAGGCGTCCATAATGCGCAGCACTGGGCCACTTGATCAATAGTAGACTCCAGGCCTCTCGGGAGACGAAGTGCCCCCCAGGGCCCGGACGCTGAACTACTCCGTGCAAGTGTTATTGTCTTGTTTCTTCCTCCTCCTCCTCCTCCTCATCCTCCTCCTCCCTCCTCCCTCCTCCTCCTCCTCCTCCTCCTCCCTCCTCCTCCTCCTCCTCCTCCTCCTCCTCCTCCTCCTTCTCTCGGTGGCGGCAAACAGGGGGGGAGGCTCCTTCCCCTCCTTCACTCCCTCCCTGTCATGCTACTTGTCACTGCCCTGTTCACCCTATTCGTCCCCTTCCCTTCATCCCCCCCCCTCTCCCCTACCCACTTCTCCTTGGCAGAGGCGTTCCTCCTCCGTCACCCCTTCTTCCCCCTCCACTTCTGCGCCCGCCCCCCCAGACTCTGGCTCCAGGGCTCTCACGGAGACACCATTGCCAAAGAGAGAAAGGAGGGGAGGAGGAGAAGGCAGATATCAGCTTCGTCCGCCTATTCCTCCTCCTCCTCCTCCTCCTCCTCCTCCTCCTCCTCCTCTCCTCCTCCTCCTCCTCCCCTCCTCCTCCTCCTCTCCTCCCTCCCCCTCCCTCCCTCCCTCCCTCCCTCCCTCCCTCCCTCCCTCCCTCCCTCCCTCCCTCCGCCCCGAGGGGGCCCCTCCCGTAGGGGACGGGTCGGGACCCTAGGGTCCTCCTGGCGCAGGCGGGGAGCGCCGGGCCCGAGGGGCGAAAAGCCCCCGCTCCCCGGGGGACGCCGCCAAAGTGCGGTTTCCTTCCCCCGGGGGGGTCGCCAGGTCCCGTGGCCTCCCGTGCTGTTTCCCCCCAGCGTTCGCCGCCCTGGGGCGGGACCTGTGGCTCATCTCTGTCGTGTCGTTCGTCCGTGTCTTGTCTTCGTGTCGTGTCGTTCGTTTCGTCCCCCTGTCGTGTCGCGTCGTGTCGTGTCGTGGCGGGCCGGGCCCCTGGGGTGGGTGGCGTGGGTTTGGCTTGGACTGGCCCCCCCCCGTTCTGTCGGCTGCCGGGTGTCTCCGGCGTGGCCGTTTCCGGCCGACAGAACGAGGGGGTGGGAGCTGTCCAGCTATTCCCATGCTGCCCGCTTGCGGGGGGCCCGCTGGCGCCGTGCGCCACCCGCCGCCGTGAGCGCCCCGCGGCCGGCCGCGCGCCCGCTGCGCGCCCGCGCGCGGGCGCCCGCCGGCCGCGGTGTCTCGCGGCTTTGGTGCTGTGCACTCCCCCTTTCGAGGGCATTCCAATCCAATCCCTCCCTCCCTCCCTCCCTCCCTCCTCCTCCACCACCCTCCTCGTCCTCCTCCTCCGCCTCCTCCTCCGACTCCCACTCCTACTCCT